TCCCCCGTCCGATCCACCAGTCAGCGCTGGAGGAGCGGGGAGGGGGGAATCCAGCCCCTCCCCTGTCACGGCAGAGAGCCGTGACAGGATCGAGAAGTGAGCGAACGCCGGTATGTGTTTGCTCACCTCCCGATCTACTGAGCCGACCTGTGACAGTCTCATTGTCACAGGTCGGCTAGAACTATGAGGTGAGTGGAAAGCAGTGAAAATGGCTATTTATAAAACAAAGATCGTATATACAATATATAAAACAACTGAAACAAATCAGCTATAACTGGTTGTACATGACAGAACCACATCACCAATTGTTTTTGATTTCTCACTGCCAGTCACTATAAATATAACTTCGAAAATCAATGATCAATGATGGGGCTTGATAGGGTTGTGAGGACCAGAAGATCTACTGAGCCGACCTGTGACAGTCTCATTGTCACAGGTCGGCTAGAACTATGAGGTGAGTGGAAAGCAGTGAAAATGGCTATTTATAAAACCAAGCTCGTATATACAATATATAAAACAACTGAAACAAATCAGCTATAACTGGTTGTACATGACAGAACCACATCACCAATTGTTTTTGATTTCTCACTGCCAGTCACTATAAATATAACTTCGAAAATCAATGATCAATGATGGGGCTTGATAGGGTTGTGAGGACCAGACACGCCTCCTTTTATAGTGTCATGGCAGATCAGACACGCCTCCTTTTATAGTGTCATGGCAGATCAGACACGCCTCCTTTTATAGTGTCATGGCAGATCAGACACGCCTCCTTTTACAGTGTCACGGCAGATCAGACACGCCTCCTTTTACAGTGCCATGGCAGATCAGACACGCCTCCTTTTATAGTGTCATGGCAGATCAGACACGCCTCCTTTTATCGCATCATCGCAGATCAGACACGCCTCCTTTTATAGTGCCATGGCAGATCAGACACGCATCCTTTTATAGTGTCATGGCAGATCAGACACGCCTCCTTTTATCGCATCATAGCAGATCAGACATGCCTCCTTTTATAGTGTCATGGGAGCTCAGACACGCCTCCTTTTATCGCATCATATCAGATCAGACACGCCTCCTTTTATAGTGTCATGGCAGATCAGACACGCCTCCTTTTATCGCATCATCGCAGATCAGACACGCCTCCTTTTATCACATCATCGCAGATCAGACACGCCTCCTTTTATAGTGACCTGGCAGATCAGACACGCATCCTTTTATAGTGTCATGGCAGATCAGACACGCCTCCTTTTATAGTGTCATGGCAGATCAGACACGCCTCCTTTTATCGCATCATAGCAGATCAGACATGCCTCCTTTTATAGTGTCATAGCAGATCAGACACGCCTCCTTTTATCGCATCATATCAGATCAGACACGCCTCCTTTTATAGTGTCATGGCAGATCAGACACGCCTCCTTTTATCGCATCATAGCAGATCAGACACACCTCCTTTTATGGTGTCATGGCAGATCAGACACGCCTCCTTTTATAGTGTCATAGCAGATCAGACACGCCTCCTTTTATAGTGTCATGGCAGATCAGACACGCCTCCTTTTATCGCATCATAGCAGATCAGACATGCCTCCTTTTATAGTGTCATGGGAGCTCAGACACGCCTCCTTTTATAGTGTCATGGCAGATCAGACACGCCTCCTTTTATCGCATCATCGCAGATCAGACACGCCTCCTTTTATCACATCATCGCAGATCAGACACGCCTCCTTTTATAGTGCCATGGCAGATCAGACACGCATCCTTTTATAGTGTCATGGCAGATCAGACACGCCTCCTTTTATAGTGTCATGGCAGATCAGACACGCCTCCTTTTATCGCATCATAGCAGATCAGACATGCCTCCTTTTATAGTGTCATAGCAGATCAGACACGCCTCCTTTTATCGCATCATATCAGATCAGACACGCCTCCTTTTATAGTGTCATGGCAGATCAGACACGCCTCCTTTTATCGCATCATAGCAGATCAGACACACCTCCTTTTATGGTGTCATGGCAGATCAGACACGCCTCCTTTTATAGTGTCATAGCAGATCAGACACGCCTCCTTTTATAGTGTCATGGCAGATCAGACACGCCTCCTTTTACAGTGTCATGGCAGATCAGACACGCCTCCTTTTACAGTGTCACGGCAGATAGCTCCCTCCAGGATTTCCCATTGGCCGTAGTACAGAAGAATACAATGTAACAATCTCTGATGGACACAATGTGACGCCGCACTTACGTAGCAGATGGCCGCCAGCTCCTGCCGTAGATTGCTGGCCTCCAGGCTGGAGGGCGTCTTCACTGGGTTCACCCCGTTGTCGTAGACGGTGAACTTTGTACCCATTAGATTTGATCTGAGCGGGAAGATAAATATATTGAAGTCATTTGTTATTGTCAGTTCTACGTAATGACGGTTCTCTGGAACGTCCCGTTACTGCGACAAACCTCGGCACAAAAATAACGCAAACTTATTACTAATAAAGTATCAAATAGAAACAAAATAACAAAAATAAAAACATTTCATCAGCTTCGTCTAATCGTTTATCTATAAAGATAAATAAATGCGTTTTGGATAGACTGCGGAATGGAATGATCCCTTGTCATAGTTTATTCATCATCTGACTCACATTGGGGAGATTTCCCTTCACTTCCTGTTGCTGCTGATCCAACAGGAAGTGAGAAAATCTCTCCAAAGGAATCCTCTCTAAAGGTCCCCACACACCTTACGATAATCGTGGGAAATCCCGCGATCGTACGATGATCGTAAGGTGTGTGGAAGCCGTGCGACCTCTACTACTGTACGGTCGCACGACTTTTAACTTACGGACATGTTCGAAAACCCGCCGAGCATCGTACGACGTTCGGCGGGTGTGTGGCATGTCCCTATGATGAAAGCCGTACGGGCCGGTGTGCATAAGCGCACACTGCCCGTTCGGCATTGCAGTCATCGGAAGCCCGCCCCTCAGGGGGCGTGGCTTGCGATCATCGCAAGTACGATCTGCCTATGCAAGATGGGCAGATCGTACGTTTTTTTAAGTACCTTACAACCCTCGCAAGACAAAAGTCCTACCATGGTTGTAAGGTGTGTGCCCAGCATTAGACAGCTGTCACCAGAAAAAATCAAGAGGGAGAATCTCCCCATCAGAGGCAGAGACGGCAATAAAAACCTGACAGGGGCTCCAATATTCCCCACTCCATTCAAAACAAAGAACGGGCTTTCCATACAGTTAAGAGAAAACCTCCACCCAATGTATTACTGGAAGTATAAGAAAACTCCCAGCAAGTAATATCATCATCTGGGGAACCGCTAATGCTTCAGCTGTGCTTATATCAGAAAATCTATTGTGGCCAGATCCAGCAGGCCTTTTATAGTGTTACAGGGAAGTGTTATAGCCTTGTCACATGACTCTGTGCAACCTCCATCTCTTGGTTCAGCATGCAGGGGGCGGGGCTGCCATGATCTCAGAGAGAGGGCGGAGCTGGAACCCTGGAACGCCCTGGCTGCATTTCCACTTGCTCAGAATCAGGGACGTTCTGCAGCGGGGGTTTCCGGGGACAACAGAGACTTGGAAGGAGGAGCAGACAGAGATGGACTACAAATGCCAGGATGGACAGGACAGGCTGCGTGTAGATCATGTGACGTCTGGGTGTTGCTCCCCGATCCCTCCAATACTGAACATTCATTTAATGCCTCCCTCCCGTATGATTACCGCAGCTTGCCGATGAAGCTCTCTCCTCCCCGGGAGAGGTCGGTCGGATCGATGGAGATGAGGTAATTGGACGTTTTGCTCTTCTTCCTTTTCCTCCCGGCCAATAGAAATATCTAAAAACAAAATACATTTGTGGCACTCAAACCCCTTCTGGAGCTTTTAGCCACAATCTGAGGGTTTAATTTCACTTTAAGTTGTTTTACAGGCTGAATGTAACATTCATTTGGTCAATGCTGTTTGTTACAATGTTGCCGCCAAATAGAATGTTATTAGAATGTGTTCATTGGATTTGGATTTCTCTTCTCGAATATAAAACAGCACAACGCATTCTAAGAACATTCCATCAGAACTGAAAATCACAGACGCAGCTTGTGAGGATGTCGGGTGACAGTTTGTATTCATCTATCCCGTCCTCTACATCTGGTCTGAGGGATGCGAGCGCCGCAAATCCGGATTCACTCCAGTTATCATTTTATTTTATTTCATAATATTTTTAAATGTCATTTAATCATTTGATTTAAATTGTAAATCAAGAATACGGACGTGTCTCAGGGGCTCCAAACTCCTTCATCAGGGTTGCGTGCTGAAAACATGGGCGGGACAACAATTGTAAGAACGATACGGATCATATGAGATCCGGATCACTCATAAGATGGCGCAGTCACCACAATGAATTATTCGGAAGTGGAAATGATGACCCAGCTGCTGATATTTTGGCATTTTCCCACTTTGGATCATCCAAATAATTAATGGTGGTGACTGCGCCATTCCCGAGTACTTACAATAATCGATCCCTGGAGACAGGGGACTGGGGCTGCAGCTAACGATTATTTTCAAAATCGATTAGTTAGCCGATTATTGAGTTCGATTAATCGGTTAAATCGGATTTAAAAAAAAAAGAAAATGGCAATAATACATTACACAGCGCAATGCAGAATACCGCCAGCTATAGAGGAATACAACAGTTCCCACTATCCCAGCAATACATTAAAATAACCCAATCGCTGTGTGTGTGTGTGTGTGGAGCCGCGTCAGGAAGCTCAGAGCGGGGAGGAGAAGAGGCGTGCTGTCTGGTGTGCGGCATGTGCGGCGGAAGAGGCGTGTCGTCTGGTGTGCGGCTGAAGAGGCGTGTCTGGTGCGCGGCGGAAGAGGCGTGTCGTCTGGTGCGCGGTGTGTGGCTCAGGTCGTGTGTGGAGCCGCGAGCAGGGGAAACTAATCGATGTAGTCGACTGAAATCGACGATGGAAAACGTTGTCAACGTTTTCGATCATCGATTAATCGACTACATCGATTAGTTGTTGCAGCTCTACAGAGGACAGTTCTGTATATTGAACACATTGTCCGTTCTGTATATTGTCTTGTTGTGAAAGAACGCCGATATTTGGACTCTCAGTTCTTAGATTTGGTGATCTCATTACATTTTTATTGCTGTCTGGGCCCCCGCGGAGGGATTCCCCCCTCTATTTGTCCCGGTGCCTCCGTGTATGAGGAGTGATGGGAAATACAAAATTCAGAGTTGTCACCGGATCAGAAATAGAGGAGAGATCTGCCAATGGGGACGCCTGTTCTGGTCACAACATTCTAGGATGAGATTTCCTCTCACTTTTCTATCTACAGGACAGGAAGTGAAGGGAAATCCCCTCTAGGTTGTACATTTCCCTCATCCCGCTAGTCACGTAGGTGGGAGGTCACAGACCTTTTTGCCGTCTTCCCTCTCCAGGTGGAGGTAATAGGTGGGGTACATGCCCCGGTCCATGCCCTTCTTGTCCCGGGTGATCCTGCACTTAATGGTGACTCCCTGAGGGGCCGGCCGCATCGAGAACTCCTCCAGATCATCCACGTCGATAGGCGGTTCGTTGGTCTGGGGGCTCGGTGCCGCGGCGCTCTCCTGAGGGGAACAAAAAAACATTCTTCTCATAGAAACTTCACCAACCAATCAAATGATGTCATTTCTGACAGCGATCCGCCGAGAGAGACAAGCACCTCCCTATGAGAAATGTCGTCATCATCATCCTCTGGCATCGCTCGCCCGGGACAGGTATGTCTCAGGCAAAGTCAGCAAACGTGTTTCTAAAGTGTAAACTTTTTTTTCGTTTTGGATGGAGTTCCCTGCTGGGTTTTTATTGGACTCCGTCTCCCCCTTCTGGGAAGATTCAACATCTATATTTGTCCTGTTGTCACCGAGAGAAAAACATGATGGGAAATCCAACATGTTCCATTTGTCACTAGAGGGAATATTCCAATGGGGACACCAGGGGAGATCTTCCAATGGGGACATCAGAGGAGATCTTCCAATAGGGACACCAGGGGAGATCTTCCAATGGGGACACCAGGGGAGATCTTCCAATGGGCACATCAGAGGGGATCTTCCAATGGGGACATCAGAGGAGATCTTCCAATGAGGACACCAGAGTAGATCTTCCAATGGGGACATCAGAGGAGATCTTCCAATGGGGACACCAGAGGAGATCTTCCAATGGGGACACCAGAGGAGATCTTACAATGGGGACATCAGAGGAGATCTTACAATGGGGACATCAGAGGAGATCTTACAATGGGGACATCAGAGGAGATCTTCCAATAGGGACACCAGAGGAGATCTTCCAATGGGGACATCAGAGGAGATCTTCAAATGGGCACATCAGAGGAGATCTTACAATGGGCACATCAGAGGAGATCTTCCAATGGGGAAATCAGAGGAGATCTTCCAATGGGGACATCAGAGGAGATCTTCCAATGAGGACACCAGAGTAGATCTTCCAATGGGGACATCAGAGGAGATCTTCCAATGGGGACACCAGAGGAGATCATTCAATGGGGACACCAGAGGAGATCTTCCAATGGGGACACCAGAGAAGATCTTCCAATAGGGACACCAGAGGAGATCAATCAATGGGGACGCCAGGGGAGATTTACCAATAGGGACACCAGGGGAGATGTTCCAATGGGGACACCAGGGAAGATCTTCCAATAGGGACACCAGAGGGAATATTCCAATGGGGACACCTATTCAACAGCTAAGAGGGGATTTCTTCTTGCTTCCTGTTCTTTTCTACAGGACGAGAAGGAAAATCTCCCCAAACAAGACTCGCATGGCAAAACAAAAAACTGACAGGGATTGTAACCCTTCCCTATTCCATTCATTCTTGGCTTTAGATAGAATGTAATCTCATGGACCGTCATCGGACACTGTTGCCCACAATGCTCTTTGGTCCTTGTCCCAGAGCCAATCAGAATGAAGCTGCTCCTCACCTTGTTAGACTTTTTGCTGGTGGCAGAGCCGGGCCTGGTGTTGCTGTTCAGTTGGGAGGAACTCGAGCTGTCTTCATCTTCCTCATCTCCTTCCTCATCGAAGTTCATACTGCTGGATATACCTGGGGGGACACCGCACAGGAACCCGGAAAGGATCACACACGTGATACTTACAAAGCAAATTCGTTACTAAGCTCCAAACATACGTGTAAAATACATGAATGTAATACACAGACGTGAGCTGTGCTACCTGCCAAAGGATTTGTACTACTGTCTATCCAGTTCTGATATTTGTTCTGCTCTGCAACACGGCACAGTCCTGTATGGCAGAGCAGGGGACCTGCTTTTTATCTGCTGCAATTCAGTCACACTTACAGGTCCCCGGGACGGTCCTGGGTTTGCTGGGACAGAGGACCAAGATCAGGGCCGGATTTCCCACAAGGCCAACCAAGGCCCGGCCTCGGGGCAGCGGGGAGTAGAGGGGCAGCGGGGAGTAGAGGGGCAGCGGGGAGTAGAGGGGCAGCGGGGAATAGAGGGGCAGCACATGGAAAGTCAGCATGTATGGTGTATGCGGAAACGGTATTTTATCTCTTCCCCGGAATGACGATCTGGAATCAAAGCTGTGTTGCGCCCTCACCTTTCTTTTGCATGGTCACCCTCAGGTCCTGCTTGCTTTGCGTTTGTCCGCCGGTCGCGTTCTCCTTCTCATCCTCCTCCTGAGGGGATTGTCCCACCGTCAGGATCTGTACGTGGCTCCCCGTGTCTGGGGCTTCGTCCTGGAAAGCGGCCGGACCGTCGATTCCTGCAGAGAGGGAGAACGGGTCAGCTCAATGTACGGTCCTGTGTATGGGGGGGACCTATCGCCGACCAAGAGAATAATGAACAGAAGTCAATGGCAGCCATTTCTTTCATGGAAAGTTCCGGTCCAGTATGTCTCCTATGGAGTGAAAGATCGGAGATGGGGGGAGGGGGGGCTCAATTCACAAAGCTTTAACACAAGGAAGCGGATCCTTATTTTTGGCTGTGATGATGTCATTTCATATCTCAATGGACTTTAGTGTAGATAAGGATCCTTATTGTGGATTGAGCCTCGTGCATTCAGCACAGCAACAGAAACATCTGATTTGTACCTTCCACCTACTAAGTCACCTGGAAGGAAATGTGAAGGAGCAGACTCAGGGGAAAGAAGATTCCAATCTCTTTGTACATCTCTGCTGAGGGGACGGCTGCCGCTGTGACTGCTTCTGAAAATACTATTTGCCTGGCTGGCTGCGGCCTCGACACTTCCGGAGTCACTGGCCCGGAGCAAGCACACAGCGGATGTCAGAACTTGGAAATACATCCAACTTGCTCTCCGGCTTAGCACTGACACTGATAAAGACATCACATTACCATCTGTAGACTGGAAGGCATCAGCACGCAATACATGATGCGGAGGGCAAGGTGTGAATGAGGGTGGGATGGGCAAGGGGTAAGCGAGGGAGGAGCAAAAGATGGGCGAGAGAGGGATATATATGCGCGTGTGATGAGGGAGGGATGAGAAAGGGATGGGCAAAAGATGAGCGAGCAATGACTGAGGGATGAGCGAGCGGTGAGTAGGTGATAGGTGAGGGATGAGCAACAGAAGAATAAGGGATAAGGCAAGGATGGGCGAGGAATGGGCAAAAGATGGGGGAGGGACGGTTAAAATATGGGCGAGGGCAAGGGATAAGCCAGGATTGAGGGAGAAACAAGCAAAGGATGAGCAAGAGATGAATGATTGATGAGAGAGAGATGAGTGAGCACTGAGGAAGTGATGGGTGAGGGATGAGAGAGAGATGAGTGAGCACTGAGGAAGTGATAGGTGAGGGATGAGAGAGAGATGAGCGATTGGGGAAGAGATGGGTGAGGGGTGAGAGAGAGAGATGAGTGAGCACTGAGGAAGTGATGGGTGAGGGATGAGAGAGAGATGAGTGAGGGATAAGGCAAGGATGGGTGAGGGATGAGGAAGGAATGGGTAAAAGCTAAGGGAGGGGTGGGCGAGGGCAAGGGATAAGAGAGTATTCAGTGAGAAACAAGCAAAGGATGGACAAGGTATGGTCCCAGGAGGAGAGATGAAGGGGGCAAGGGATGAGGGAGGGGTGAACAAGGGATGACAGAGACATAAATGGATGAAGAATGAGGATGGGATGGGCAAGGAATGAGACAGGTGACAGGTGAGGGATGGGCAATGGATGGGCGGCTCCACTACCTCATGGTACAGTCTGCGTTATAATGGGCTATCAATGCTGCTGTGGGTGACCCCATTAGATGGCACAGAACTCAGAGTCTACAATTCATGGGTCACTTTTATCACTTGTGAGAGCTCCCAGCCACCGTTCCTGGCTTCCTCCCCCACCATGGGGTGTTCTCACTCCTCCTGCTGCGTTCACCATGATATAATAAAATACAAAGTCCGGGGCGGAGAGTGGGAACCCCTCAAAGTGATGGAGGAGGAACTTGGATCTCAGAGCAGAGCTATAATAAAATGACAACTGGGTAACTCTCCAGCATCTAACACTGTAATATTATTTCTGGGTGGAGTGACCCTTTAACTCATATTTCCAGTTACAATGACAGTTACTGTTCCCCAGACTGGTGAAGACAATGTTCTTTCCTGGACTCGTACACCAACACGTGTTAACTCCTTTCAATTAAAACGATACAAAAGTGAACATAACGTGCAATGAGGCCGTCACGTGAACATGCGGCGACACATGTGCGGCCTGGC